TTCTTGTTTAAGTTGTTTACAATTTTAATATGCTTGCGCATTCTAGCCACCAGTGGCAATATACCCATATTGCAGGTTAAACATTTTGCTCTTTTAATTATTTTCGCGCCAGCTTTGGCATCAGTCTCCTTAAAATATTTCCACACGAGATCCTTTCTCCTCCTTGTCATTGCCTTTCTTTTTTGCCGATCTTTAATGCACAAAAAACAAAACACACCACCACGCTACGACTTCGAACATTTGACTGCTAGAGATTGCAACGCGAAAAATTACCCAAAGGCAAACTGTACTTCCCGACGTCCGCTTTTAAATTAGAGATGTGCTCTCATAGAGCTGGATCAAAAATAGTAATAATACTTTCAAGGAACTTCATTGACGTTGCTAGATTATATAGGCAATAGTTATTTAATTTTTTTTACTGTTTTAAACATGTATTAGCAGTGTTATAAACATGTTTTTTTTCAGCTAAATTTGAATGTTTTAAACAAAAAAAAATGTTTTATACAGAAAAACATGATTTTTCTTTTTTTAAGAAATTTTTTTCAACCCTGTGTAACTATAGTCATGTGACATTTTTCAAGTTTTGTCACCTGTAAGCTTTTGTCTCCAAGAAGATCCTTCGCGTTCAATGACCACTATATGCTAAACCTTTTACATGACATGTCAAGACATTTTTGGTACAGTATAATGAAAAAAAAAAACAAAATTGATTCGCTGAATCAGTGTTTTTCATAAATGATGACAAATATTATCACTGCAATAAAAATCTAGCAGCACTATTCGCACGTTTCTATAATTCCATCACTCAAACGAGTGACTTCTAGAATGTCATTTTTGACTGTTTTTATATCCGGTAGGAAAATCTTTAAAATCCATAACTTAAATCAATAACAGTCATAGAGGTGAAATTATCAGGTTGTGATTGTATCATGGTCCCATGAATAAAATACTTTAAAAAATCTCACATATACAAAAGAGTTCAAGAAAAGACCCCACACAAAGACCAGTCAAAATAATGTATTACATAATTACATATCTAAGTTGAGAGGTAAGCATTTATAGGAAGAGTGTGATTAAACATATTTTCAACCACATTATGTACAGCTTTACTACTTATAGGTACTAATATGTATATTACATATATCATGTTTCATTTGATCAAGCTAAGTTACTTTACTGACCGAGTGTTAAAATGATTATCACTCGTTTTTTCATAATATTTTCTAATTGACATGGAGTATGGATCATAGCAGGGTCAGCAGATGTCTTTTATAATTCAAGTTAGGTAAGGTGAGAAAAAGTAATATCAGAGTGCACATTCATCTTGTTCTTTTAAAAAATATGTGAAACATCAAGAATAAATTAATAATACTATCAGAAATATGGGCGCCGTGTACCCCCCTTAAAAAATTTGCATATTTAGCATGGTTTTGTGCAAGTTTTGGGGATTTTTTACTGAGAAAAAATGACAAATACCGGTCAAGTGTCCATCTGCCAAGTTGACATTTGCTTGTTTTGTGGCATTTTTAATTGCTTGTGAAAGATATTTGCCCAAGTTGGCGATTTGATCTTCAATATTACTTTTTTGCGGCAAACTCCAAACTTTAAGCAGCCTTTAATATATTAAATAAATTTCAATAAACCTTTCGTGGAATAGAACTCAATTTTTAGAGAATAATTATAATTTCTCAGATTCTCAAATTACATTCAGAATGATGTAGTTCCGGAGATAATCTCTTCCATTCTATTCTAATCATTCTATGAGCAAAAGCGCGATTAAAAATTCTGAAATACTGTACTTTTGAGGTTTTTGATGCACATGTAAAGTATTGTTTAACAAGGCAGTATCACGGTTCATAGATATATGTTTCTATACAGAAAAGTACTTATCATGTTTCCTAGCAAAGGCTTTATTTAAATTTATAGAACAGAGCTTTACCAACTTCTGAATGAAGAGTTTTTCCTACCAGCTTTGTGTGGGGTACTTTACAATGCGTGACTTAAAATACCTTTGTATTAAAAAAGGTCTAGCAAAAAACATATTTCCACTTACTCAAGCAAAGAAAAAGCTGTAGCGGAAGCAAGAACAAAACACACGGCTGACAGTTAACGATGGGGAAGGCAAACCAACAAAAGACACATGGTCACACACGGGACGTCATTTTTGTAGGTGGTAGTTGTCGGTAACTTCCGGTGAAAACGGGCGACTTCCATAAATCTCAACGCTGACTCACTCCGCGGCGGACTGGCGGTTCGCGGCCGGCAAGCCATGTAAAATACCGCGCGCTAGCACAGCCTCGGAACCTATCGGAAGCGCTCGGGCGCCGTTGCCACGTTGTGCGCCCACGCAATCCGCAAGGCATTTGTTCCTCCGCCAGTTTGAAGGTAAGGAGGTCAACAAGGAACAATGCACTCCCTGGGGGCTCTGTGACATTATAGGCTGTGGGCGTAAGTTGAAAAAATCGACTCTCTCATGGGTGTTTGTGTTTTCCCGTAGAGTCTCGCCAAACTACCTTCAATAAAATAATGTATCATTTTGGATGGCCAGCTTGAACACTTCCAAATATAGGCACCATACTACTTCTGTAGCTCCCGTGGATATAGTAAAGGACAAAATGTTATGTTTTTCTAATGATCCAACATATTTATCACGATTGATGCTATTTTTTCTCGTTTTGTCAGCTAGTAGCAATTAGTCCATTGTATTACCGATGCTGACCAAAGAAGTATCTGAAAGATACTAACCATCTACTTATACTTATACTTTGAAAACAGTTACACTATTTGGTTCTACTAGTGTCTCATAGATGGCGCTGGATCTGCAATCCCTGCAACCAAACACACTAACCCTTCAACTCTGTTCTAAGTTGATTTATAATTTTTTTGTATTCCGCTACTGGATATGTTCAGGTAGAATACTTTAATTAATATACCTGACTTAACATCATATGTTAAGATGTGGACATCAGAGAATAAAGCTTTAAGTACATCTAGAACTGTAGAAATTTATAAGGTTATGAATTCAGTTTATTTAAACGGATATATATTATAAGATAAATTGGTGTAATTATGTGATATAATCATGTATTCAATAATAATTAAGAATATATCAAATTATAACAGTATGTGTTGTAATGACAATGCTTTCTATAGGTAAATACCCGCGCACAGGCAACTACCTTCTGTGTACTTTATAAATAAACATAATTATTATTATCTGACAGAAGCATCCACGAAAGAAGTTGGTAGGTCACATGTTACATTCTAATACGAACAGGGAGTGGAAAAACTCTTTAAGTTACAGATTCTGACGTTTGATATTTACGTTTGAACTTCGTAGGTCAATCTTGTCTCTTTACAAAAAGTAAAGAATCTCATAATATTTTTTTTATCCTGTCGAAATGAACATTTAGGAAATGACTCATTATCGAATGTGTCGAAACGCGACAAGACAATTTTTATTCCCTCAATTTTGAAGTGGTTGCTTGCCAAATTGTTGGTCACCCCTTGGCTCGAAATCTTCTTAAATGCAATGTGAATATCAATATTAAGGCAGTAACGTTATTCAGGATAAAAGCTTCTTAAACTAAAAATCTCAAGATTATTGTGCAAATTTCTGATATCGTCAACACTGTATAAGTCGCTGGCGGCGGCACGTCGATAGACGCGCGATCCGCCCCCGCCCGCCCCGGCGTTCCCTGTTGCCACGTTTCCAAATAAGTCCCTAATGAGAGGAAATGGTCAAGAAATAAACAAAATGGAAATACTACACATAACCGCGAATATACTCAAGATTGTAGAAATTGAGAGAAATTAAATTAAAGAATTGCATTTATCCAAGCACCAAAAATTGTCAGTTATTCATTTTGTCTCTTTCAAATTTCATACTAACTTAAGGATTGTGTCAGACAGCATTTCGTACATGACTTTGTATGAACAAATTAAGTGTTAAATTTTTTAGAACCTGTTCTAAATAATATCATGCTAAAATTGAGCAGACGCCTTCTGCGAATTTGGAGCAGTACAATGACTGATAGGAGCGTTTGGTGACAAATAACTACATGTTTTGGGTTAACTCCTTGATATTCTCTTAATGTTTTGTGATGACTAGATGAGAAGACAATTGATTGACAAAAACAAGCCTAATCTCAAGCACTTTCATCAGTTGTGTCCATCACCTTTGCGAAACTCCCCTGCTTATGCTGTTCTACTTGTAGATTCAAAAACTTTGATTTGAATTTGACTTTGAACAAATTGGGTCTATAAGCCAGTGGATCCTGCACTAGACGTCCTTTATTCAGGATCCCGGGCGTACCCATTCCCGGTCCCTCTTCGTGATTCATTTTGGACACCAAATTCTTTTGCAGTTTCGTTTACTTCGTTGTTTCATGAGGTGGGCAGGCTACAACGCTGATCGCTGGTCCCGCAGTCGCAGATAGTATAAGCGAATCACGGGGCGCTCAACTTTCTATTCATTTAAAGTAGCAAGCATCAAAGAAAAGTGTGGTTAGTCTGACTCTGACGTCATAAATGACAGTTGGAAGTTGACAGTTATATTTTTGTTCTATATTCTGCGCATGATTTCCTACCAAATTTATTGCAAACATTTCTACGAGACAGACAGGATTGTAATTTATAATCAAATTGGGAACTGAATACACATTTTCTCACAAAATTTGGTACCAAATTATGAACCAAATTTTTTATCGTGACGGTCTTTAGCTGATGCATTTGCGACGCTGCCGAGTTTGACGCGTCGTGCATTGAGGTATGGGGGAAGGACGACGTTGCCAGATAGAGGGAGCTAAAGGTAAGGCAGGGAAATCATGTCCATGGACTAATCGTATTGAGCCTATTTGACTAACTTGACCGGCTTGATGACGGTGTTGCATAACGAGTGCAGCCTACTAGATGCCATTTTTGTGCTTGAATATCCTAGTTAGCTATCTCATATCTTGACACCGTCGGTTAAACTTCTAGAGCTTCTGAGTAAACGGTAGTCATTCTAAAAAGGACCTAGATTCCGTTCCGCATAATATCATATCACCATATAACTCTGTGTGTACGTAAACTTTGAGCGTGGTAGAAACCACGGAGCTTTTCTGTTTTGAGTTATTCTTGTGCGGAGCCAACACACAAGCTGGAAACTCTTTTTTCCTCGCTAAAAAGCCGTTTGTCAACTGTTCTCTCGGCCTGCCGCAACCCGCGTACTTCTCGGAATCGTTACCATACAAAGAACACTGGCACGATTCTACAGGGGAGTTCATGCAGAAAATGTTCTGCAATCCAACAGGGGCTCATTGTATTATGAATTTTCTTGAATGGAATCAAATTCTTCTTTAATACCCTACACGTGTTTCGCTATAATAGCATCGTTAGAGGAAGATTAAAACTAAAAGCGTGAGATCAGATAAGAAATTTTAGGTTAGAAAAAAAAAATAATTTCAAGCATACCTATACCTTTTATTACTAAACTAAATAGTGTAATATGTCTCACAGGCTCTAGAAGTTAAATAGATGTGAGATAACGTCTAAGTTTTAAGAATAACTTCTGTTTTCATAAAGTTGTACGGTATATCACGTTTCTCGCGGCTGCCACTGCGGCGAGCTGATACACCGACGATTGGTTCAAAAGCAATTTGAGGTTAGAAAAAATAGAATTTCAAGGGGAAGTAAAGGTTAAATCAATATGATAATTTACATATAAAGCACCCGCGAAAACTGTGATTACTAATTTCATGGAAACAGAAGTTGTTCTCAAAACCTACATGCTATCCCATCGCTATTGAACTTTTAGGGCCTTACGCGAAATATTACACGATTTGGTTTAGTAGAAAAAGAGCAAGGTATGTCTGAAATTCAAATTTGTCTTACCTCAAACAGCTCATTTGACTAATCAGCGTTATCAGTCTATCTCTTTCAATATAACCATTCCTTTAAACAATCAGCGTCGTCAGTCGTATCTATACAACCCCATCCCCTTGAAGTTCCCAACATTACGGACTAGTAGATATTTGGTATTTATAGCAATATCGATAACTGTAATATTTAGATTCTGCCTTTATTTGTATGTGCAAAAAGAAGACGTTAATACATACCTATTTGCCTTCACTCAGAAGTGAGAACCTGCCAGTAAGCTTCGCGCTTTGGTATATCGACGGTAAGCGGCTCCTCCATCAGCACGAAACGGTGACAATGATTGGCTACCCTCAAAATGTAATTCCCGCGGTCTTTGTTGTGCGGTGAAAGACAGGAAATTGTTCCGATTCAAAAGGCAAATGGATGACTGGCCGCTATACCAAACATTATAGCAGAGCACTTATAGTGTCGATTTCTACTATATCGCCTACTATTCCAGGCCCGTCTCTAGCTATAGGGGTTAGGACACTGAGTCTTCGTTACAAGAATTGGCCTTGCTATTCCGTCTTTTCCCTATTGGCACTCGTGGTTCCGTTCCCAGAGCCCCGGTTTAATGAAGTGCCTCCAAATGTCAAAAAACCAAACGACATTTCGAAAAAATGTATGAATAACCCCAAACTTCCTGTGTGCCCAGAGACCTCTACGTAGCTTGAGACGGACTTGGTAGCTGGAAAGACTAGAGGACCGGGCATTCTAAGAAAGATGGAAGAACCACACATTACAAAACCCCTAGAATACTGGAGCTTTTTCTTGGAATGCGTCCTAGGAGTTTAAAGTCAAGGAAGTAGTCTAATCGGCACTGCCTTGGCTTGCACTGGGCTACAACAGCAGCCTGAGAAAGTTGGAACAACCACACATTACAAATCCCGTAGAATATTGGTGCTATTTCTTGGAATGCGTCCTTCAGGGTTTATAGCCCAGTACAGGTCAAGGAAGTAGTCTAATCCACACTGCCTTGACTTGCACTGGGCTACAACAGCATCCCGAGAAAGTTGATACAACCACACATTGGAAAACCCCTAGAACACTGTAGCTGCTTCTAAGAATGTCTTCTTCAGGACTTTATAGCCCAGTACAGGTCAAGGAAGTAGTCTAATCCACACTGCCTTGACTTGCACTAGGCTACAACAGCATCCTGAGAAAGTTGATACAACCACACATTGGAAAACCCCTAGAACACTGTAGCTGCTTCTAAGAATGTCTTCTTCAGGACTTTATAGCCCAGTACAGGTCAAGGAAGTAGTCTAATCCACACTGCCTTGACTTGCACTGGGCTACAACAGCATCCCGAGAAAGTTGATACAACCACACATCGGAAAACCCCTAGAACACTGTAGCTGCTTCTAAGAATATCTTCTTCAGGACTTTATAGCCCAGTACAGGTCAAGGAAGTAGCCTAATCCACACTGCCTTGACTTGCACTGGGCTACAACAGCATCCCGAGAAAGTTGATACAACCACACATTGGAAAACCACCAGAACACTGTAGCTGCTTCCAAGAATGTCTTCATCAGGACTTTATAGCCCAGTACAGGTCAAGGAAGTAGTCTAATCCACACTGCCTTGACTTGCACTGGGCTACAACAGCATCCCGAGAAAGTTGATACAACCACTCATCGGAAAACCCCTAGAACACTGTAGCTGCTCCTGAAAATATCTTCTTCAGGACTTTATAGCCCAGTACAGGTCAAGGAAGTAATCTAATCCACACTGCCTTGACTTGCACTGGGCTACAACAGCATCCCGAGAAAGTTGATACAACCACACATTGGAAAACCCCCAGAATACTGTAGCTGCTTCTAAGAATGTCTTCTTCAGGACTTTATAGCCCAGTACAGGTTAAGGAAGTAGTCTAATCCACACTGGGTTACAACAGCATCCCGAGAAAGTTGATACAACCACACATTGGAAAACCCCCAGAACACTGTAGCTGCTTCTAAGAATGTCTTCTTCAGGACTTTATAGCCCAGTACAGGTCAAGGAAGTAGTCTAATCCACACTGCCTTGACTTGCACTGGGCTACAACAGCATCCCGAGAAAGTTGATACAACCACACATTGGAAAACCCCCAGAATACTGTAGCTGCTTCTAAGAATGTCTTCTTCAGGACTTTATAGCCCAGTACAGGTTAAGGAAGTAGTCTAATCCACACTGGGTTACAACAGCATCCCGAGAAAGTTGATACAACCACACATTGGAAAACCCCCAGAACACTGTAGCTGCTTCTAAGAATGTCTTCTTCAGGACTTTATAGCCCAGTACAGGTCAAGGAAGCAGTCTAATCCACACTGCCTTGACTTGCACTGGGCTACAACAGCATCCCGAAAAAGTTGATACAACCACGCATTGGAAAACTGGAACACTGTAGCTGCTTATAAGAATGTCTTCTTCAGGACTTTATAGCCCAGTACAGGTCAAGGAAGTAGTCTAATCCACACTGCCTTGACTTGCACTGGGCTACAACAACATCCCGAGAAAGTTGATACAACCACACATTAGGAAACCCCTAGAACACTGTAGCTGCTTCTAAGAATGTCTTCTTCAGGACTTTATAGCCCAGTACAGGTCAAGGAAGTAGTCTAATCCGCACTGCCTTGACTTGCACTGGGCTACAACAGCATCCCGAGAAAGTTGATACAACCACACATTGGAAAACTCCTAGAACACTGTAGCTGCTTCTAAGAATGTCTTCTTCAGGACTTTACAGCCCAGTACAGGTTAAGGAAGTAGTCTAATCCACACTGGGTTACAACAGCATCCCGAGAGGGTTGATACAACCACACATTGGAAAACCCCCAGAACACTGTAGCTGCTTCTAAGAATGTCTTCTTCAGGACTTTATAGCCCAGTACAGGTCAAGGAAGAAGTCTAATCCACACTGCCTTGACTTGCACTGGGCTACAACAACATCCCGAGAAAGTTGATACAACCACACATTAGAAAACCCCTAGAACACTGTAGCTGCTTCTAAGAATGTCTTCTTCAGGACTTTATAGCCCAGTACAGGTCAAGGAAGTAGTCTAATCCACACTGCCTTGACTTGCACTGGGCTACAACAGCATCCCGAGAAAGTTGATACAACCACACATTGGAAAACCCCCAGAATACTGTAGCTGCTTCTAAGAATGTCTTCTTCAGGACTTTATATCCCAGTACAGGTTAAGGAAGTAGTCTAATCCACACTGGGTTACATCAGCATCCCGAGAAAGTTGATACAACCACACATTGGAAAACCCCCAGAACACTGTAGCTGCTTCTAAGAATGTCTTCTTCAGGACTTTATAGCCCAGTACAGGTCAAGGAAGCAGTCTAATCCACACTGCCTTGACTTGCACTGGGCTACAACAGCATCCCGAAAAAGTTGATACAACCACACATTGGAGAACTGGAACACTGTAGCTGCTTCTAAGAATGTCTTCTTCAGGACTTTATAGCCCAGTACAGGTCAAGGAAGTAGTCTAATCCACACTGCCTTGACTTGCACTGGGCTACAACAACATCCCGAGAAAGTTGATACAACCACACATTAGAAAACCCCTAGAACACTGTAGCTGCTTCTAAGAATGTCTTCTTCAGGACTTTATAGCCCAGTACAGGTCAAGGAAGTAGTCTAATCCACACTGCCTTGACTTGCACTGGGCTACAACAACATCCCGAGAAAGTTGATACAACCACACATTAGAAAACCCCTAGAACACTGTAGCTGCTTCTAAGAATGTCTTCTTCAGGACTTTATAGCCCAGTACAGGTCAAGGAAGTAGTATCCACACTGCCTTGACTTGCACTGGGCTACAACAGCATCCCGAGAAAGTTGATACAACCACACATTGGAAAACCCCTAGAACACTGTAGCTGCCTCTTCAGGACTTTATAGCCCAGTACAGGTCAAGGAAGTAGTCTAATCCACACTGCCTTGACTTGCACTGGGCTACAACATCATCCCGAGAAAGTTGATACACGCACACATTGGAAAACCCCTAGAACACTGTAGCTGCTTCTAAGAATGTCTTCTTCAGGACATTCGAACCTTTAAAATCTATAAAATGGCAGATATTTTGTAGCAACTATCCTTAAGTTATTTCCTTCAGGCCTTTATACCCAGTATTACCCAAGCGAATTATATAACCTTGGCTTACATTGCAACAACACACATCGAAAAATCTTGAGTGACTTACACATTGAATTTCAGGTCTCTATAGCTCATCCATAAAGCCATAGATGTTGCATAGCCGTTTCCGCCAGGAAGTAGGTTAACACACACTATAAAGTCCCGAAAAATCTCAAAATTAGTGAACCATCGATAACATTTTGGAGACAGCATTTGCACTAGGGTTGACAAAACCATTAAAAGATACAGGTA